ATTAGCTTATTATTAATCAAATTTAATTAATATGTATAATACTCATTTTAAAGATGATAATTTGAATGATATGATAATCAGAAAATCAGTATAATTTCTTAATAAATACACTGTAATTTTAATCAATTCTCATTTAGAAGATTTCATCTAAGATAATATTCAAATAATAAAGTCCAACTACATAATAACTAGAATTGTATGCAAATTATTGCATCAATACTCCATTTTTATAAAATGAATTACCAGTAATATTTAAATTAACATAATTTGGAATAGACGTAACTAGATTAGTTCAACCAATCAAGTAAAATAATTTAATACTATTATATAACTATTATTGTTGTGCGTTTTCTAATTGACATGAAGCATGAAGATTTACTATATTGCCTAAAGAATTTAATGTAAAGTTTTAATAAATATAACGCAGTATTACTAAAAAAAAAAGAATATAAGGTGTAAATATATGAGGTTGACTGCAAACATTCACTCAAATTCAGAAATGAATAACTATAATTATAGAGATTATTAAAGTTACTATATACAGTTTAAATATAAGACTTATTCTGCAAAAGCAAAGTATTGGTTATTTGTTTAAGTAATTAAGGAGTAATTTTGAATATTATTAGAAATATTACTAGGCTTAATAGAAAATTAAGTTAAATTGAAATATTAGTTTTAATCATAATTTTAAATTAAATAACAATATCCGACTTATCTATCTAGAATTAAATTCATTGGATATGTGAAAAATTTAGATTGAGGGATGATATTTTTTAAACTTAAATTGAAGTTTGAATATAAAATTATCATTTAGTTTGAGGTTTAGTAACAAACTTTGTCATTTAATAATGTAGTTACAGAAAAGTTATAAATAAATATTGGATAATTTATTGTATTGTTGAAGTCTTAAGTTTAATATTCCTCTGATATATAAAATTTCTAGGCTCTATGAAGTTAATAAATTGTATTATCTTTAAGAATTATCATTGAATTTGCATATTAGAACACATTTGTATCAGAACTTTCAAATGCCTAAGCCACTAAAATTGGTTATGTTAATTCTAACCTAGAATATAAACTCATATGATATGGTAACAAAGGATTATAAACATAAAGAGTTTAATTTCTAAAAGTAAAATAGAAAAATAAGTTGTCAGATCATATTGTTATGTTATTGTCAAAGTTTACACAATATAGATCATTAACATAATAGAATCTTGGTAAATATTACACATTCCAAACTTAGAAGCATGGATTTGATTCATTATTAAATAAATATGATAGTATCAACTAAGAACTGACTAAATTTATTTATTTTATTGTAAAATTGACTTGAATCAAAGCTATCGGTATTGGAAAGCTATTTTAATCAATTGATAATATTATGACTTCATTAATATTATTTATGTATAAAAAAGAAGATAATTTTTACATATTCACAATTACTTAGATTGAATTGAATTATATGTTGTTGAACAATAATTTTTAATTTAAAGTAAAGCTTTTTGTAAAATTAAATGTTAGTATTTGTTTAGAGTTAAAATTGTAATACTATGATATTTCAATAAAAAAACCGGAGAATTTTTCCTTAAAAGTGTTATTTAAATAATTTATAATACTATTGCTGTAAGGTAAGTATTAAAACAAATATATTGTATCATAAGTACTTAATCCTATTATCAACATATTAGGATAAATGCTGTAGGCAACCGATAGAGAACTTACATTTATATATATATTGATTGATGTTAATAGAATTTATTAGTAAAAATCTTCGTTGGCTTAGTAATTGTTTTATAAAATATCAAGTGAGTAACTATTAAATCCTATTAAATAGATGTTAACAAAAAATTTAAAAGAATAATTTATAATTGAAATTGATTAAATTAACTAATAACTCTAATTAAGTTTACTAGCTTTTTATTCTACCAACGATGTAAAATTTAAAGGTATTCCTTCTTTACTTACTTTAAATTATAATCCTGAAAAACTTGGAAGAGAGATTATCTCCGACAAGTAAATTGCTTCCTAATCTTTCAAGTATTAATCAAAAATTACATATATATTTGTATCATTCTTAGGTAAGAATTAAATGAAGAAATTAGCGTTTGTGTAATTTTATCTAATAACATTTAAACCTATATTAATACACATAATTGAAAAGGTATAATTATTTCCTTCATTTTCTAAATTAGTTAAGTTAACTTCTAATGATATAAATTAAATGCTATAAATAATGATATCTTAATCAAAAATAAGTATAATAAAATAGTATTTAATTGGTATTCATAATTCCTAAGTGCATCTTATTCTCTAATTAAAATTGTATCAGTAAACTAAAGGATTATAAATTGATTATTTTAGACGATATTTTGAAAGGTTGTTATTATCATAATCATTAATTTATATTATTTAATTATCAAATTCTTAGAAAAGATCGCATTAATAAAGCAATATTCCACCATAGTCTTGAAATATATATTATAAATAAATTGAATCAAATTAAGAATAACTCCAATAATTATTATAAACATTAACAGTTCTAAAAGAATATGAATCTGAAATAGGTTAAATTAGTTTTTTAATAAATTTGAGCATCTGGAGATATAGATAATTAGAACATCTAATAAGATTTTATCGCATAAATATTAGGGCTTATTGCAATAGTGACATCGGAATCGACAAATTAATTATTTAAACTACTTTAATTACAAAAAGCTGATGAAAATAGTAAAAGTATTGAATAATCCGTATCATATTAGGCATATAATATAAAACATTTGTTCCTTTTATAATTGATTTTATTTTAGTTTAAGTAGGTTGAATAGATTCTATTGAATAAGCAATTTTTGATAATTCATCAGAAAGTTGAATTAATAAGAATTCATTATTATAATAGCAATCTATAATAATAGAAAAATCTTGAGGCAAAAGGATATTATAACAATTTAACGCTGAATCAAATGACACAGATAAGCCA